AATGTGCCTGGGGTGGGCTGGTGGTTGGTGCTTCTTGCAAGAAAACCGAAACCACTTGAGGGCTTTCTGTAAAACCCAGCAGGCAGAGACTTTACCAACTTTCTCACTTCTCCACGCACCCCTGCGGAGTAGGTACCCATGTTACAGATGAAGAAACTGAGGCAGAAGCGCCAAGCAGAAGGGCTTAATTCCAGGGTCGGTGCTTACAAGGAAGGGATTTGGGATTCGCTGCTTTCGGCAGGGACCCCGAAGCCAGCCCAGAGTCCCCCGCGGCACTCGGGGACTGCGGCAGCCCCCAGCCCTGCCTCTTCCCTCCACCCTGCAGCCCTCACTGATGGAACCTCAACCTGTCCAGAGCCCCGCGGGGCAGGGGAAGCTGGGAAATGTAGTCTCCAGGCTCCCAGCTGCTGCAGGACGGGGAGCACGGAGGAGGGAGGAATGGGCCCTCCCCGCAGGCACAGGCACTGGCCTCGGGGGTCCTGTGGCAGTAGGGGACATTCAGGGACAGTAAGAGCCAGTAGGGGACAGGTACCCTGAAAGCCCTGGGGTGCAGGTGAGGCTGATGCATGGAGAATTAGCCATGGCATGGGGAACCTGAGCCAAATGACCTGTGGATACCTTTTCACAGAAAAAAAAGTTTATTTAGTCATTTTTATTTATTTGAAAGGCAGAGGAACATATATAGAGAGAGATCTTCCACCTGCTGGTTCACTCCCCCAAATGCCTGTGACAGCCAGGGCTGGGCCAGGAGCTCCACTGAGTCTCCCATGTGGGTGGCAGGGACCCAAGTACTTGGACCTTCTTTCACGGCCTCATAGGCGCATCAGCAGGAAGTGGATCAGAAGTGGAGGCCGTGCTTGACTCCAGAGACCCTGAGATACGGGATGGGGCCCCCCTTGGCTGCAGGCAGATGTCCAGGGGCAGGAGTCCTGGCACAGGGCTGGGCTCCGTGAGGCTGCCGGGCAGGCGGCTCCCACTGTGTCTGGCTGGGCTGCGGCTTCTCATAGGCCGAGCTCGGAATGGGGCACTGAGGCGGAGGGCAGACCCAGCCCTGCATAATGACGCGGGGGCCAGGGGCCTCGGCTCGGGCTCAGCGCACATGGAAATCCTAGGACTCCCAGGGCAGCTGCTTGTTCCTGGAACCCGAGCTTAGCATAAGTGGAGTGGGGGGGAGGGAAACGGCTAGGAAATACACTGCACTTGACGCAAAGACCGGCTGGAGTCGGCTTGCCTATCTCTCGGATCTGTGAATTCGATCAGTTCCTTCCCACGTCTGAGCCTCCACTTCCTCCTCTATACGTGGCTGACAAGGCAAGCCCCGTGCGTTGAGCACCGGCTACACCACAAGCATCTCTGCACTGACCCCTCCTGCGTGTGGCCCTTGGAGAGACGTGGCTGCCCGCGTCTGGCTGGGGCAGCCCTGGGCCTGCAGTAGTGGATTGTCTTACCCAGCTCGGCGGGGAGGCAGCGTACTCTGTGTGCTGTTCACCTGCCCGTGCACAGGGATGCCGGCTGGGACTACGCACTGCAAACCATGGAAGACAACGTGCAGAATGAGGCAGCCCCATTCAGCACCTCCCCACAGCAGCTGGAGGCCAGGAGCACGCCCTGGCCTGTCCTGCAAATGTGCACATTTGTGCACTCCAGTGGGCAGCGCGCCGGCGTCCCCAGGCATGTGGGAAGGGGCCCCTGGTGACCGGAGTAGCACAGGGGAACTGCTGGAGCCACTTTGAGGAACCTTCTGGGGAAGGCAAACTCACGCGGGTCTGACCCCAAAGACCCCACACTGTGTTCCGCCTCCTGCCCTGAGGCCCGGCTGTCTCTGAGCCCTCTGGGTCCTGGGAGGCCTGGTTTTACCCACAGTGCATCAGGATCCAGCCACTGGGGCAGACGCGGTGATGTCTTTGTCCTCCAGAGCCTCACAGGGTTAAAGCAACTCATGCAGTCTGCTGGAACCACACCTTTAAAAAATTTCATGGGGAAATGCACTTAAAAGATTGTTGAAATCCATGTACAGCTTTTTCATAATTGGTATTTTCCACAAGCTTTTTGAGGACGGCTGCTATTCTTGATGCCTGATTTCATTTGGTGTTTTTTGTTTTTTAAGATTTATTTATTTATTTGAAAGTCAGAGCTGCAGAGAGAGGAGACACACACACACACACACACACACAGATCTTCCATTCTCTGATTCACTCCCCCAAATGGCCACGATGGCTGGGACTGGGCCAGGCGAAAGCCAGGAGCCAGGAGCTTCTTCCAGGTCTCTCACGTGGGTGCAGGGGCCCAAGCCCTTGGGCCATCCCATGCTTCTTTCCCAAGCGCATAGCAGGGAGCTGGACCAGAAGCGGAGCAGCCGGGAGTTGAACCGGTGCCCATATGGGATGCCAGCTTTGCAGGTGGCAGCCTAACCCACTGTGCTACAGTGCCAGCCCCTTATTGGGTCTTTTAAAGAAGCCTGACAGTAGCTCTGGCTGGGGGATCTGGTGGACTTTTTGCAAGTGAGGAGCCGGAAATTTAGGGGCAGGGACAGAACTGATCTCTCTAGTCATCTGCTCTAGCCCAAGGGCAAACCTGGTCATTTTCGAGCAAGTCATTTTCTCTCCTTTGGCCACCTTATTGTGGGCATTGTTCATCCCATTATATAGATTCAGAAACCAAGGCTCGGAGGGGTGGGCCAGGAATGGGAAGCAGCAGGATTTGAACCCAGATCTGCCTGGGCCATTTTTCCTTCTGCCAGTTGTCGGGGGGGGAGGGTTTCAGGAAAGCAGAGTCTCTGGATCCCATGTGTCCAGGGGGCCGGCCATGGCTGGGGAGCAGTGTGGGGAGGGGTCTCTGTTCTTGCCCGGAAGCTGGAGGACCCTCTTCCCTGCTGGGTCTGACCTCAGGCCACCCTGTGCTGTCCCAGGAAACCAGCCGGCCAGGATGTGGTGACCAAACGGTTCACAGTGGGGAGGTGGGACACGGAGGTGCTGTGCAAGGAGGGCCTTGTGACGCCAAGTGCAAGCAGGGGGAGCCGGGCCTCCCCCAGGCAGGGAGGGCGCTCCCGTGGCTGCAGCTGCACCTTTCCAGCCCCGAACACGCCCCCTTCGCTCCCTCCCACCATCCACTCCTGGCTGCTGTGAGCAGATCTGCCTGGCCCCATCCTCTTCTCTGGATCTGCCAGCTCCCTGGCATGTGCAAGACAGCCTACTAGGTAGCAGGGACACAGAGAGGTGGCAGGCAGGATGCCCTGGGGACGGAGGGTGTCCCAGTCCCACGGCATCTGCAGTTCAGCCTTGTCTGGGGTCCCAGTGAGCCTCACCGAAGTAGCAAGACCCACACGGGTCAGCAGGGGCTGGGGTGCGCTTCCTGCCCAGTGGGGACAAAAGCCAGAGCAACTGTGGCGTGGCTCTCAGGCATGGTGCTCAGGTTCCAACTCGTCTATCTGCCTTATAACAAAGAAGAGAATTTACTTGAGCCATGGCGAGAGCGAGATCAGGGATTTTGTTCCGATCTCTCCCACACAAGCTAGCAAAGCGGCCAGCCTGGTGCCGGCCTCACATCCAAATGGCCAGAGCAGAAAGGAAAGCCCCATCCCTCCCCAACGGGGTCCAGGCACGTGCCCAGCCCTGCACCAGTCGCTGTGGGGGGAGGGGTGGCAGGGGTGGGGCCCCTCCTCTGGCCAGGCGGACTCAAGGCTTGGCCGTGAGGATGAGGTTGTCCAACTCCGTGAGAGAGGGGCTGCCTGCTGGGAGGCGGGGCAGTGGATGGGACTCTGGGGACACCACCAGGTCATAAACACGAGCCTGGCCCTTGTTCTGCGTGCGGTGGACTGGGGTGAATGGGTGCAGGCCAGGAGCCAGCACATCTGGAGCTCCAGCTGTGGCTTCATCTGGTTTCTGAGCTGCACCTCCCTCTACCAAAAAAGAGAGTCTGCCTCCAATTTGGACTTCCCGGAAGGAATGAGCCCTTCACTGGTGGATGCACATGGAGGGCGGGGAGGAGTTGATCAGAACACAGGGCCTGGGGAGCAGAGACATCACAGTCAAGTGTGCAGGCAGGGCTGCACCTGCTGTGGGCATCTGAGAGGCTGGCTTTGGGAAAACGTGCCCCTCTTTCACTCTGCCCCTTCCGCTGTGGGGCTCTGAGACCAGGTCACCAGACAGGCACAGTCCCAGAGCAGAGGCCACACCCCCTCTCCTGCCCCCCGCCCCCAACCTCTGCAGGTGCAAGGAACAGAAGGCTGTGGACTGGGACTCCAAGCCTGCCTCCACCTTTCCCCAGCACCTTGGTCAGTCGCTTAACTGCTCAGTTTCTTCTAAGGCAAACAGAGAAACCAGCATCTCGCCGGAAGTAATGCCTAGAGGATTATCTGAGCAGATGCTTGTGGGTATACCATTGTGTCAGCTCATGTATTCTTGCTTAGGTTGGAAAAGGAATATTAAAGTTTAGCAATTGCCTAATAGCTCCCAGAAGCTCCATGTACCATGTTATGGAAGAAGGAACTGAGCTCTAGGAGGGCTGAGTGACTTGCTCTTGGCCACACAGCCCCATGAGCCAGAACTTGAACTTGGGTCACTAAAACCCCCTCCAGTGGCTGGCAGAGCTCATGGAAGGGTGGCTGGGGGCTTGCGCCACACCTTGGGCATAGCATTTTCTTGTTGTTCCTGTGGAGATCCCAAATCCAGGAGAGAACAAGGAAGAGAGAAAATCCCATGTGCTCTGGATTCAGGTGCAGGGCCAGCCCATCTCCTAGACTGGCCTTGGTGCCCACAGATGCTAGGCTCTGGCTGTGGGAAACGTGGCTGGGCCGCTCCGTCTGCAGGTGCCTTGGCAGCCTTGCAAACAGCCCATTATACACATACACACGCTGAGGTACAAGAGGATCAGTAAGTCCTCGGATCCCCCTGCCGCGGCGGCTGGACCAACAGAGGGAAGGCCGTGGGAGGCGTGCCGGGGAGGCGTGGAGAGGGAAAGCCCACCACATTTCACCGTTTCCTTCCTCCCTTCCTGTACAGCTCACAGATGAGCGACGGCTCCTCCAGCCGGCCCCGGACCGCCTCACCTCCAGTGACCTCCCTCCGACCTGCGCCAGCCGATTCCCGCCAGGCTTCAGCCCTGGGGACCCCAGACCTTCCTGGAGATCAGTGAGCGCCCACTGAGCACCTGCGCCTGGGCACGGAGGCCACTGTCTCCAGGTTTAATGAAAGCTCCGTCAGGAGACACGATCAGCTTTTCAGGGATTGCGGAAGCGGCGGGCTCCCGCGTCTGCTGAGCGCGCGCCACGCATAGCCGCGGTGCGCCCCACGTGAAGTCGGGAAGCCGGGGGCGGCCGGTGCCCCAGGGGCAGTAAAGTCGACCACAGCCGCCCTTCAGAGCCAAGCTCCGCCTGTCCCGTGACTGCCCTCAGTTAGGAGTGCTCGTCCCCAGCCTGTCCGCAGGAGGCCTCCTCGGGAAACGGAAGATGGTGACTCCGAGGAAAAGGACCCTCAAAGCGCTCGCCTTCCTCATGCTCTTCATCTTCCTCACCTCCTTCCTCCTGAACTACTCGCACACCATGGTGGCCACCACCTGGTTCCCCAAGCAGATGGTCCTGGAGTTCTCGGAGAACCTGCGGAAGCTCATCAAGACCCGGCCGTGCACCTGCGCGCACTGCGTGGGCCAGCGCAAGCTCTCCGCCTGGTTCGACGAGCGCTTCAACCAGACCATGCAGCCGCTGCTCACGGCTCACAACGCTCTCATGGAGGAAGATACCTACAGATGGTGGCTGGTGAGGCCCGGGCTGCAGCGGGGTCTGCAGGGGGAGGCGGGGCCCTGCGGGCCCTCGGTAGGATGCGGCTATTCTTTGTTAGTCATTCGCTGGTTGGTTCATTCGACCACTGCCTACCAAGGTGCCATGACATGTAGAAGTCAGCGTGGGGGCTACTGCATTCTTCCCGTGTCTGTCATCACAAGCAGCCACGAACAGTCAAAGGTCATTCTTGCACAGCTGGGGGGGTCAGAAGTCCAAAGCCAAGGTTCAGCAGGGTCTGAGCCTCCTGGGGACTCGGAGAATTGGGCCACATGGGTTGTAGACACGTCACTCCTTGTCTCTGCCTCCCTGAGGGCTGCAACTCTGCTTCCCCAGTCTCACACCCCCCTTCCCTGTGTTCAGAAGGACGCCTGTCCTTGGGTTCACAAGCTTCCTTCGAATCCAGGATGGGCTCGTCCAGAGGTCCTTGGCAATTTCCCAGAGTCCCATGCGTGGGTTCTGGGACCAGCGCTTGGACATTTCTTTCTAGGGGCCACTGCTTTTCCCACTTTAGGTTTCAGAATGCAAAATAGAGACCAGGCCCTTATTCTCCCGGGACTATACTCTGGAGAGACAGATGAGAAGCAGATCAGATAAACAAGGGAGGCTGGGATGGAAGTGCTTTGAGGAAGCTTGGGTGAAGTTTGTGATGGGGGAAGCTTGGAGAGGGTCTTGTATACAAGGCGGTCCATCAAGCACAACTTGAACCCAGACCCAGGCCCAGACCCAAAGGCAGAAAAGGCACCAGTCATGGAAGTATCTAGAGAAAGTGTTGTAGGTTCTGCAGAGTGTGCAGGAGCCCTGGGGTTGCATCCATCCCCTGGGTGTGTCAGTGTGGCTGGGGTGCCGTGGGCAGTGGGCAGTGCTGTGAGGGCAGAGCTGAGCATAGGCAGGACCCACAGTGAAGAGTCTGGGGCCAGAAGCCACTGTGCTGTTCTAAGTGGGGAATCCTGGGATCCGATCCAGGTTTCTGAAAAATCACCCCAGTGCTGGCCATCAAGTAGACCCGAGGGGAGCCAGCAGTATCCCTCCAGTCTGCACTGACTTAGCACCGCCCACATGCCAAGCACCAATAGACGGAGATGGAGAAGACGCTGGCTTGGGTTGCTGGGGGCAAAGGGAGATGAGAAAACAGTGTCCCAAGGCAGAGCCTTGGTGCTGCGTGGGGAGTGGGCATGAAAAATGCAGAAGCCCATGGGGGCGGGGCCTCTAACCCCTCCCCTGGGCTGGGCTTCCCAGGGGAAGAGAAGGCTGAGCTCACCCTGGAGAAGTCAGAGAGAAAGGGCGCCCCCAAGCAGAGGGGTCAGCTTATGCATGGACCTGGGACGTGAGAATGTGTGTGCAGGAGCCGGAAATGGAGCACAGGGGCTGGAATCCGTGTGTGCCCAGGGCCGTTGACATAGCGCGTGCAGTCTCTCCCTCCTGTGCCACACCAAGCAAAGGCGCGGCGAGGGGCACCCAGCCAGCCAGGGAGACCTCGCAAGAGCAGAGTTCGCGCGCAGCACTTTCCCAAAGGCGCCCTGCTCCAAGAGCTCAGTCTACCAGAAATGAGCAGAAAATGCATGGGGGCCCTAGAAGGGTCCAAGGTGCTGGCTGTGTGCCAGGACCCAGCTAAGTCCTGGCTCCGGGGTCTGTGCGCGCAGGTCGCGGCTGGGCTCTGGGGACGTGACGGAGACCGGGATAGGCAGGGCCTTTGCCTTCTCAGAGTCCGTGTGTCTGCTGAAGGCGGTGGGGAAGTCAGCAGGACAAGGCTTTGAGCAGGGGCTGGAGAGCCTTGTGCGTCTCAAGGTGTTTAACTGCCCCCCTCACCCCTGCCCGCTTAGACGCCAGTGTCACCCACTCCCCAGGGACGCAGCCACAGTGTCTCCAGTTGTCATGTCTGGTCTCTGGCTGGTAAGGGAGGCCACTGGGATAGAGAAGGGGGGACCCCACTGGCATGGCAGCCTCACACATCCCCTTCCGCTCCCTGGCTCTCCCATTCCCCCCATAGTGCCCTTGGCAGGGTTGGATTGAATTCAGACATCCCCTTAGGAGCTCGGGGTTGGGGATTCTCAGTGTCACCCTCGGATTCTGGCTGCGAAGGCATTTAGGGATCAGTCTGTCTACACAGCGTGCACATGACCCAAACAGGGAGCGGCCTTAGGGCTCAGCAGGTGGAGGAGAGGCTTGGGAGCCAGTTATCTCCATTTCACAGATCAGGAAACTGATCAGCTGCAGCACACCCAGCCCTGGTGGTGCTCCACTGACCCTCCTTCTCTCCTGACCCCGGCTGTGGGGAGCCCTGGAGATGGGGCAGGGGAGCATTACAAAGAGAGAAGGAGACTGTGACCCCCTCCACAGATTTCCACCCCCACCCTGGTGGGACATCCTCCCACCCCAGACATCCATGCCCAATATCAAGTACAAAATAATGCCTTCCACCCGATGCAAGCCCCAACTCTGGCAAGGCCCCGGCCAAGCTCTCCGGGCACCCCTCTGCCCTGCCCTCACCCCAAGCCCACCAGTGTGACTTTCTGTATCCCCACTTGCACTTTCCGGGTCTCCCTGCTGCAGAAGGGCAATCAGGTCGCGTTCTGCTTAAAGGACCTGGAGTCAGGCTCTGGGTCTTCCAAGCCTGGGCCTTCCCATCTGTGAAATGGGTACATAAGATCACCTTCTCACAGGACGGTTATGGGAGCTAAATGAGGACACGCCGTGACGTTCTTGGCATGGGGGCTGTGTATCAAAACGACAGAACTCTGCTTCTGGCTGTGGTCAGCCTTCAGAGCCCCAGAGGAGCAGCCGTGGACTGGGAGGATGAAGGTGTGGCCACTGGCTGGTGTGGGTCTCTGTTCAGCAAACCCACACTGGGCCTGTGCTGAGCTGCGTGCCAGGCCTGCTGCCCAGGGGCTAAAGGAGCCAGCCAGACAGCAACTGAGCATGAGAACAAGGCCTGCAGTGAAGACCCCTTGGTGCCAGCCCTCTGTGCTAAGGCCAGAAAGCCGCTCGTGTTGGTCCCAGATGCAGCAGGGACAGTGTGCAGGGAGTGCAGCTCATCCCCGCACTCTGCGGGCACAGGGGACAGAAGGCCACCATGGAGCCTCCAGGCAGGAAAGCTGCTGCCGGAGTCCCCACTGCACAACTCCCATAGGTCGGGCTCCAGTACAGGGCAAGTGACGGAGGCCCCAGGGCTCACAGAAAAGGAGAGGCCGGGCCGGGTTATGCTCCTTAAATCGTGCGCCCAGCACCTCACTCACCTCGCTTTGGTTCCAGACCTGCTGCAGCCAGAGCCCCAGAGACTCCACTCTGTCCTGGGCCCTGCTGGGCCATTCATGCTCTCTTCATTTCCTTTCTGCCCTTGCTGTGCACTTGCCACTACTTGGCCGAGGTCTCCTTAGGCAACTCGCAAGCCCTTGTCAATCTTCCTGCAAACCCGGAGCCGCCAGCAAGCCTGGGCAGGCACAGGGCTGAGCCGGGCCCCACTGGCCTTGCCTGTTTTCATTGTGCTGTCCAGTGATTCTCAACTCGTGCCAAGCGGTCCTTTCTGTCCACCTGGGGTACGGTTGCCAGGGCCCCTTCCCTGAGCAACCAGCTGTTTTGTCTTCCATGAGTCCTGAGAGCAGAGCTGAGTGAGCTACAGTCGGACAGGGCAAGGTGATGCCAGGCACGACACCCAGCAGAGTGCAGGACACGCTCCCTGCCTGTGTCCATGGCAGACTTGGAATTCTCAACCCTGGGGTCTCCGTGGCAGAGGGCACCTGCTGTACTGGGAAGTAGCAGCTCAGTAAAGACCCCTGCACGGTGGGTACAAGGTAGCGATGCTGTTGCTTACTCCACCCCCCAGGGAGTGGCACAATGCCAGGGCACTCTCTGGTCCCAAGTCCATGGCCAAGTGCTTGGCAGCCCTTCCCAGCTGGACACCTCCACAGAGCCTCCTGCAGAGGGGCCTGGCTACCCCAGCAGCATTGCCTGGGAGCCCGTCAGACCTGTAGGAGCTCAGGCCCCAGCCCAAACCCTACTGACTGAGGAGCTGAGCCTTGTCACAATCCCCAGTGATGTGGTGGCCCGGGGGCATCCTGTAACCAGCAGGTGTTTAATCTGCATCTGAACGTGTGGTAAAGCACATGTAACATAATCTGAGTCATTTGCACCAGCCTCAGGTAGCCGTGGTCGCCACTCCCTGTCCACAGCCCGTCTTAGTCAGCCCCATCTTCCCTAAGTGTGAGCCCCTCCCCACTCTTCCTTTCTGCTTTCTGTTTTGACACACTGGAGGGCTCTGGGCGCCTAACAGGGGAGGACTCCTACAATCTCTGCCCTTCTCTCTCTGGCTTCTTGGGCTAAGCCTGCTAAACACAATGTTTCCAAGGTTCCACCCATGTCGCAACTTACAAGGATACTTCCTTACTCTCCCTGGCTAAATAGTATCTGATGCCTAGAGCTACTGCATTTACAAGGTCAGGATTCCAAGGGCCAGAGGTTGGTGCCCTGTTCTAGGAGCTCTTAAAACAGTTTTTTTTTTTTTAAGACATTTATTTACTTGAAAGTCAGAGTTACACACAGAGAGAGAAGGAGAGACAGAGAGGCAGAGAGAGGTCTTCCATCCGTTGGTTCACTCCCCAACTGGCTGCAATGGCCGGAGCTGTGCCAATCTGAAGCCAGGAGCCAGGAGCCTCCTCCGGGTCTCCCATGCAGGTGCAGGGGCCCAAGAACTTGAGATGTCTTCTACTGCTTTCCCAGGCCACAGCAGAGAGCTGGATCAGAAGTGGAGCAGCCTGGACTCGAACTAGCGCCCATATGGGATGCAGGCACTGCAGGCAGCAGCTTTACCCGCTATGCTACAGCGCCGGCCCCAAGACAGTTCTAAAAGCTCAGGGTCACATCTTGGTTTGGAGTTGGGACAAGCCCCCCTACCCATTTGGCACCAGTGCATCCTTTCTCTTCTGCAGGTGAAATAACTCAGCAGAGTGGCATGGCGCAGGGTCAGGTGCACTGCTCCTTATCAGATCCCTCCAGGCTCACGCTGAGTGAGGAAGGCAGGTGCACCCACAGGTGCTCACTGCCCAGTGCAGCCCAGGCTCCATGTGAGACAGCGGGCTGACCAGGCAGGGCAAGGGTGACCGGCTTGTCCTAGTTTGGGCTCGGAAAGACCTGCATCAGAGGGAAACTCCTCAGTCCTGGGCAGACCAGGGTGGGCAGTCACCATGGGGCTGTCTTGGGACAGCCGACCCTTGCGCTGGGTCTTTGCTCCGCAGACATCAGAGGTCTGCGTGTGTCTGGCATATGCTGACTCCAGCCTGGCTGAAGCCTGGTTGTCATGGGCTGGGGGAGCTGGGGGGTAGAAGTGTAAGGGCAGCAGAGTGGGGACATGGCGTGGGCAGCTCTGCTGCTGTCAGCCAACCAGCCAGGACCCAGCCAGGGCTGCGGAGCCAGTGCCCGCCCACCTACTACTCTTGTTGGTAAGGCGTGAGTGAGGGCGTGCAGTACCAGACCTGGTGTCTGGGTTTGGTGTGAGATTCAGAGCAGAGTGGCAGTGGGGTGGGCTCGCAAGGTCCTGGCTATGCCCTTTAGGGGAAGAGAAGCTCTTTCATCAGAGACAGAGAGATCCTAAAGAGCAACAGGTTGGAGGGAAGGGGGTGAGCCCCACACGGGCCACACCAAGTCTGACGAGCTGAGCCCAGGTGTGCTGCGTAGGGCTGAGCTGGGCCCCGCCCCTCTCCCACGTGCCTGGTCTTTGTCACAAGCAGCTGGCGCAGTCCTGTCTTAGCTTTCCACTGCTGTAATGAAGAACCCAAGCCAGGCCAACCGTACAAAGGGAAGAGACTTCCAGTTGGCGCACAGCCCTTGGTTCAGCCTCTGCTGCTGGTAGAGCCCGAGGTGACAGAGGGCATGGCGTGGTGAGAGATCAGGTGCACACGTGCGCCTCTGTGGTCTCTTAGGCAACCACCGGGACCCTGCCCCGATCCCCATCACTGGATGAAGCTTCCCCGCTCTTAACCTTTGGGGGTTTTGTCCAGAGGAACAAATATTCAGACCACAGCAAGTCCCTAGCATACCAGAGGTGCTCCGTAGCATTTGCAGTGTGGACGGCTCTTTCCTCTGCAGCTTGGACTCCTTGGAGGAGGCAGCGTCTGAGCTGCCTCCATTCCCAGGGGCCCAGCAGAGAGAAGGAGACGCAAGGTCCTAAAAAACCCCAGCAGGTGGCTCCACAGCCAGGAGACAGAGCCTGTCCGGCCAGAGGCAGCGCAGCCAGGCTGACCTGTCCCGTCCTCTGCCCACAGAAGCTCCAGAGGGAGAAGAAGCCCAATAACTTGAACGACACCATTAAGGAACTGTTCAGCGTGGTGCCCGGCGATGTGGACCCCGTGCTGGAGAAGAGGTCGGTGGGCTGCCGGCGCTGTGCCGTGGTGGGCAACTCTGGCAACCTGCGCGAGTCCTCCTACGGGCCGGACATAGACAGCCACGACTTCGTGCTGAGGTCAGTGCCCCAGCCCTCGCCCCCACCCACCACGCCGCACCGGGGGCCCTGGAGCTGTGGCAGGTATCTGGGCTCGGGTTCATAAGGTCAAGGACTTCTCCAGGGACCCCAGACTCCTTCCCGCCCCCTCTGAGCCTTGGATTCCCTGTCTTGGCTTGTAGGGTTGAGATGGACCTACTTAGAGGGGACTGCACACCTAGGTCAGGAGCTGGGCATGGGGAGGCCGGTGAGCGGGCACGGGTGGCTGGAAGACTCTGGTTTAATCATTCAAATCCGTCCCCACTTTGCAATCTGCTATAACAGAACTGCAGGCTTTCCATGCAAAATGCATTTGCCCCGTCTCCAAGTGGGACAGACATTCCAGAAAGACATCCCCAGTGTATCCTGGATTCCCTGTAGCCCTGAGGGATGGGGCTGGCCGCCCACACGGACCTCTCACTGGCCCCTCAGAGCCTCGGTGTGCCTGGCAGCCAATGGGAATGAGCATGGTGACGAACAGAGGGTCAGAGTCAGGGTCAGACCTCAGTTCAGCGCTGCCCTGGGGCAGCTCCGTGGCCTGGAGCAGCCTGTCTGAGCTGGGGTTTCTGGGACCATCAAGAGGGGCTGTAGGACACCAACAGTGACGTTTCACGGGCGCTCAGCCCTGGAGAGCTTTAGACTCACTGCGATGAGAGAAGAGAACAAGGAAAGCCTGGACGCCCTGTCTGATTTGTATCTGTTTCACAGAGGCGGCCCCAGGGAGGAGGGGACACGGCTGAGGTCCCAGCGCAGGCCCTGCCACGTGTCTTTGTCTCTCTTCCCCTCCCAGGATGAACAAGGCGCCCACCGTGGGCTTTGAGGGCGACGTGGGGAGCAAGACCACCCACCATCTGGTGTACCCCGAGAGCTTCCGGGAGCTGGGGGAGAACGTGAGCATGGTGCTGGTGCCCTTCAAGACGATCGACCTGCAGTGGGTGGTCAGTGCCACCACCACGGGCACCATCTCCCAGTGAGTCCCCGCCCCTCACGTCCTCCACCCACTCCCCTCCACGGGACCCCCCCCATCTCTCACAATTCCCACTCTCCAGTGCTTACTGCCCCTCCCCCACCCCACACCCTCTAACAAGTCACAGCTCGGCCACCCCCTGCCAAGGACTCTTGCTTAGACTGCCAAGGTCGGCATCTGCTCCCCGCTCTGCTTCTAAAGTGCACCCACGATGCCAGCCCCCTGCTTTCCAGACAGCGGAGGCCTGGGGGAGGGGGCGAGGGAAAGGAGAGTGCGGTTGATGCCTCTGCTGCCCTCCAGTGGCCAGGGCAGGCAGAGCACCTGGGCTCCGGCTGAGCGAAGGCGCTCCCTGCCCAGGGAGGAGCTGCTGTTTTCCATGTAATCCTCACCAGGAGGAGGAAGCAGAGGCTTGGCCAGCAGCCTGCCCCTGGGCAGAACCAGCACAGCCTGGGCTCCCCGCTGGCTCTGGTTCCCACGTGCCCGAGTCTGGCTGGGGACAAGAAGCTCGTGTTTTCTGCTTGTCCTGGATGCAGGGAAGCGGGAGCTGGGCCCGGCCAGGATGTGGCCTCAGCCTGCGTCCCACGCGGGGCAGCCGCAGGGTCGAGGCCAGCACAGCTGCAACTCCTCTGCCTTTACGTGGGACCTTGGGGATGGATGAACGAGGGCGGCTGAGGCCTCACAGCCCGGCTCCGGCACTGGGTGCTGCTTCAGGCCATGTTTGGAGCAAGTCCTGCTCCTCCTGGGCTTGCTAGGAAAGCGAGGTGTGAAGCCGCAGCTCGCGCTACACTCGGCCGAGCTCCCCGTCAGTGCCTCTGGGGGGAGGGGGCTGCGGGAGGGCCTCAGCTGGGCCGGAGCCCCCTCCCCACATGACCATCTTCTCTTTCTCCCACTGCAGCACCTACGTGCCCGTCCCCGCCAAGATCAAAGTGAAACAGGACAAGGTGAGTTGAGGCTCCAGCCTTTTGCTCCACCCGAGGTCTCCTTTCTCAGGCTTTTGACCCAAGCGCCAGACTCCAGCCCCAAACCCCAGACCCCAGGGTTCCCAGTGGAGGCTGCAGCCCTCATTTAACTTCCCTGCCAGCAAGGGCTCAAGCACTGGCAGAAGTTCACAAAGTGGCTCCTTGGTCCGGGAGATCTGGGGGTGGTCTCAGCCACAGACCCCCAGGGCCCACACTGGTAGGAAGCCTCAGGCTCATTCCTGTTGCGTGTGAGTATCTCAAAGCCAGGCCTCACCACTGGTGCCTCCATGTCTCCCTCCCCCACCCCCTGCAGATGGGCCACAGGCAGAAGGAGGAAGGAGTGAAATGCCCCCACCTTGGCCCTTTGCACACACTATCCTAGTTCCATTGGCACAGAGAGGTCAGGTAACTTGCTCAGGGTCACACAGCTGGCTCAGCTAAAACTGAATTCCTGGCACCTCCTGCACCCTGCCCTTTGCATTGGGCCACACTGCCCCTCCAGGAGGAAGGCACAGGTGCACCTGTAGACGGGAGAGCCCCTGGGAGACAGCAGTACCCGGGCCAGCCTGAGAGATTGAGGGTCATCAGAGACCTGCACGACTCTGCCTTTCTGTCCACTCCAAGGAGCAGGAGACACACGCTGTGCAGTCCGAGAAGTCTCCGCTGGTCGTAAGCCAGCACAGGGGCTGGGGAACCGAGGCCAAGCCTGCCACCAGCCCCACGCCGCCCGCCTCTGCTCCCGCTGGCTGTGTGACATGGTGCACGTTCCTTAGCCTCTCTGAGCCTCCGTGTGTGCATCTGTGACCCGAGGAGAAGGGAACCCAGCACACAGGGTTTAAAAATCGGTGATTCTGGGGGTGGGTGTTTGGCACAGTGGCTAAGCTGCCTTTTGGGGTGCCTGCCTTCTATAGCAGAGCGCCTGGCTCCACTCCTGATCCAGCTCCTGCTAACCTGCACCCTGAGAGGCAGCCCTTGATAGAATCCAGTGGCTGGGTTCCTGCCGCTCCCTATGGCAGATTTGGATTAGGTTCCAAACTCCTGGCTTCAGCCTGGCCCCCAGCCCCAGCTGTTGCAGGCATTTGGGGAGTAAACCTGTGCATGGAAGAGCTCTCTCGCTCTCTCTCTCTCTCTCTCTCTCTCTCTCTCTCTTGCTATGCTTTACAAATAGATAAAATACATTTAAAAAATATAAAACTTGCTGGGGTCGGCGCTGTGGTTCACTTGGTTAATCCTCCGCCTTGAGGCACCGGCATCCCATATGGGCGCCGGATTCTGTCCCGGTTGCCCCTCTTCCAGTCCAGCTCTCTGCTGTGGCCCAGGAGGGCAGTGGAGGATGGCCCAAGTGCTTGGGCCCTGCACCTGCATGGGAGACCAGGAGAAGCACCTGGCTCCTGGCTTGGGATCAGCGCGGTGCGCCGGCCGCCATGGCCATTGGGGGGTGAACCAATGGAAAAGGAAGACCTTTCTCTCTGTCTCTCTCTCTCACTGTCCACTCTGCCTGTCAAAAAAAAAAAAAAAAAAAAAGTCAAACTTGCTGGCAGAGCAGTGGCCCCATGGGTGTTTCCAGGCCCCCTGCCCACTTCCTGCTGCTCCCCCCGGAACCCTTCCTGTCCCCCTCTGGTCCTCTCCAAACGTCAGCTTCCCAGCCTGCAGGCTTTCTTTCTCTCTTCGACTCCTTCCCAGTGCCAACAGCTCTGTCTGGGTGGTGTGCGCCACTGCCCGTCTTTCCCGCCAGGGCAGGTGACTTGTCAGGTGCCGCCCCAGCCGGCTGTGTGCCCGTGGCCTTGGCTGTGTGTCGTGGCTCACCCTGGCCCTGTGCTCCTCCCGCAGATCCTGATCTACCACCCGGCCTTCATCAAGTATGTCTTCGACAACTGGCTGCAGGGCCACGGGCGGTACCCATCCACGGGCATTCTGTCGGTCATCTTCTCCATGCACATCTGCGATGAGGTACGCCCCTGGCCACGTGCCCGCTGGGCCACTCTGAGGATGAAGGCCGCCCTTTCTATGTTCCCGAGAGGCTGTGAGGGGGCGGCGGGTGGTCAGGGCTCGTCCATCCCTTCCGGAAGATCTTGTGAGCGAGATGCCCCGGGAGTTCCGCCCACCACCAGGGTGTGGGCCTGGATTCCCCTGGGTTGTCCGGGAGGCTCGCTGCCAGCTGTGTAAGCAGGAGGGTGCCCCCCCCCCACACTTCTTCCCTGGCCCCAGATTCAGGATGGGCCTTCTTAGCTCACACAGCCCATCCCCCACTCCCACCCTTCAGTCCTGGGCTGAAATTCTGGGAAGGGGTCACAGGGCTGGGACCCCACACTCCATCCTGGTATCATCCCTGCCTGCCCTGGAGTCTGCAGCCAGGAATGGGGGCTCCCTCCCATTCCCCAGCTGCTCAGACTCCTGGGGTCCACATCAGACCCCTGCTCCGGGCGCTTCCTCCTGCCGTGACCTCCTGTCCCTACTGAGCGGGCCTGTGTCCCTGCTGCTTTTCCCCAGGAACTGTCCCCGCCCTGCTCCTCCCTGGGACCTAACTCAAGCGTTCCTTCTGGGCCCCTCCCTCCTCCGTGCCATGGGAGCCCTGACTGGAGCCTGTGTCCCTCAGGGGCCACCCAGTCCGTGATTGCCAAGGGTGCGGCCCCGGTCTCCCCAGCACCCCTGACGGAGGGCTGCCCACACTTCCCCATAACCCACACGGCGCTTGGCACAGAGCAGCGCCTGGCCCCCAGCCTTGGCCAGTGAGGGCCTCTGGACCCCGTGGGTGCTGGTCTCAGGGAGAGCACCTGTGACCTTGAGTGTTAACCCTACTTGGCAGATGAGGGCCGGGAAGCTCAGGGAGCTGGTTTGCCACACTCGGGGTTGGCCTCGGCGTGGCAGAGCCGGGACTTGGGGGCGTCTGCTCAGCTCCAAGCCCTACCCTCCTCGCCGCTCCATTCCAGTCCCTCCCCGCTGGAGAAGGGGCTGTACCTGTCCCCTGGTGCTGCCGGGCCCCCTCAGGACCACCCATATGCAGTCACCTCCAGGGATGCCTTCTAGCTGGCCCAGGGCTAGAATTTTATTGACATGCTTTTGCCTCACCAAGCCCCAGGGTGTTCTGGGAACCCACAACAGGGTTGTGGGTTACTGGCTCGTGGGATTCCAAGAAAGCCTTCAGCCTGTCTCCCTCCCTCCCTCCCTTCCTTTTTTCCAATTTGTTTGAAATGACACGTAGCAATTGTACACGTCCTCGGGCCACCGTGTGCTGTGGGGGGAAGGAGAGCCAGGGACACGGTGGTGAACAGGCGCCAGGTCGCAGCTGGGGAACACATTTGGCATGTGCCAGCATTGGAGGAGGCACACCTCTAGCCCTGATTTGAGCCTGACGTGGGAGTCTGCGTCCCCTCCCCCAACCCTGTTCCTGGAACCCTGTTCCTGGAGGTTCCGCCCCGGGCCCCGCAGTGCACCTGCTGACCTAGCCCTGTGCCCCTTTGCAGGTGGATTTGTATGGCTTCGGAGCCGACAGCAAAGGGAACTGGCACCACTACTGGGAGAACAACCCCTCGGCAGGGGCCTTCCGCAAGACGGGCGTGCACGACGCGGACTTCGAGTCCAACGTCACGGCCACCTTGGCAGCCATCAACAAAATCCGCATCTTCAAAGGGAGATGATGCCGCGCGGTGGGAGGAAGGGCCGCGCCACGCAGCGCCGCGCCTGCACCTGCGCCGTCTCCAGGCCCAGCATCGCCCGGAGCTGCTCTGTTGCCACAGCGCCGAGGGCCCGCCTCGGGGTGTGCTCGGGTGCCACTCACAGCTTCGTGCACCCGGGCCTTGGGCGGCGTCCACTCAGCAAGGTGGCTCGGCTCAGAACCTGTCTCAGGTGGGGCGGACCCCCCCCCCGACGGCTGCCCTTGGGGGAGACCCTGGGGAAGGTCCAGTCTCTGGACACTAAAATCATTTTGGCCTCTAGGGCAGCAGGGTGACAAACCTGAAAAGCCCTGGTGACATCCCCCAAGGAGATGGGCCAGGTGTGCCTGTGACCTCCACGCTGGGTCCCGTGGGCACAGAGCATGGCTTCTCGCTTGGTGTGGCCCCTGTCACTCCTTCCTTGCCACACCCTGCGGAGAGGCCTCTGACCCCACGGGGCTTCCCAGAAACTTAGGATGGGAGCAGGCACCTCTTCTGATTGGAGTCATCAGACTCCGTGGTTCTGATGATGGCCGAGCACAGAGCTGATGGCTTCCATGTGCCTTGGTATTGGGGGGAAGAAATGCATGTATCGGCTAGAATGAAGCAGAAGGCCCCACACGCGGCAGGGGCCCCTCCCCCAGCCAGGTCCCCTGGCCCCGCCCCGCGTCCAGAGCATCTTTCCCAGGTTCCTGAGCCAGTGCCCAGAGTGGGACAAGGCTCGGATGCCATTTGGCGCCGCTCCAGTGCCAATTGGCCATAGAATGTCCCCCTCTGATTTTCACGTGGTTGGGTTAGGAGCCCATCCAGGGGCCCTGGCACAGCCGGCGTCCTCCCTGCGGGCCTGAGCTCTGGGCCCAGGCGCTGCTGGCTCCCTCTGTAGAGTCTGGGACCCGGGGCCAGGGGGCATCTGAGCAGCGGGGACTGGCACATACCTCATCCCCTCGTCCCCACTGCTTGCTTTCTTCTTCCTCAGCCTTCCTGATTATTTATTGATTTCTTCGTTCATTCAACTGACATCGTGTGCACCTGTGCCCATGCTGCTGGTGCCAGTGTGTCCTTCAGCTTGCTCTTACCCCGCCCCCAACCCCACCTCGGCAGCGGGCGGCCGGGGGCCCTACCGCAGGCTCAGTGTGTCTGGGGCACATCTCGTGGTGTCAGCTCAGCAGGTTCCTGGGATGCTGTGTGGCTCCACCTGGCCCGCCTTGGGGTCTCCCCGACTCAGCGGAACCTCCCTGGGGCCCGGTGGGCGGGGGAGCCGCAGGCATCGGGGAACCGGGAGGGTTGGCTCAGCTACCGATGCTGGGTCAGAAAAACCATTCTTGCTGCAGAAAACGTTTCCTGAAAGGAGGCTGCTGGGGGTGGGGTGGGGGTGACATTCTCCCGGGCATGCGGGAGGGGTGAAGGGAGCGGGCTTGGGAGCCCTGGGCCCTGCCCGCCTCCGCTCAGGGTCCTCCACAGGCGGCAGTGACAGGTGCTCCGGGACCTCCGCCAAGGCACAGCGGGTTTCAGGCCGCTCAGAGGTCCCTGCAGGCCAGGTCTGTGAGGGTTCCCTGAGGGTGTGCACGGGCGCATCTTGGCTGGGAGCAGGTTCCCTGGCTTTTATTAGATTCTCAGAGACTCGGAGTCCAGAAAGTGGTTTTTCTTTAAAAAAAAAAAATCTCCCCCAAACGTAACACCTGCCCTGGCTGATGCAGGCTGGCCAGGCTCTCAGCCGGCTGGGGGTCTGATTAACCCCCCAGGACCGACTTGACCAAAGTGGGCACCAGGGCAGAGAGCCCCGGTGAACCCTGAATCCCCCCGCCACTTCCCCTAACAGCTGAGTCTGTGTAGGGATCCCAGGTTCAGGATGAGCAGTGGCTGCTTTGGGCCCACTGAGCATGCGTAGGTCCCTCAGTGGCCATGGCGGCCCTGGACGCTGCCCAGGTGTCTGTGTCCCTGTGGTCTCTCTCTATCACCCTGCATCCCGTGAGGAGCTCCCAGCCCATGAATCCAGCTCTCGCATTTCACAGATGAGCAAAGCAGTGCCCCATTGAAAGTGGCAGCAGCGCACCAGCTGTGACAGATAGCACAAGTCAAACAGACCCTGAGCAAAAACAGGACCCACTGGTGCCAGAGGTGGGCGTGGCCACCAAGCCTGCACCCAGCAGCCTGGCCCACCCCCTGGCAGAGACACCCCTCGCTCTCCCCCCCGGCCCAGCCTGCTGTCCTCATCGTGCACTTGGATTCATTCTCAGGGTACAGTCTCCAAAACTCACTGAAACCTCATCTGCGTGTCTCCTGGGCTCAGCAGTGAGCACCCAATGGCTTCACAGCCTGGCGTTGGGGCCAGAAGTAGATGCACCGCTGGCTGCAGCCGACCCAAGCCCTCCCCGGGGGGAAGGTAGTTGAAGCCCACAAGAGAGTTTCTCGCAGAGGGTGCTGGGGCTGCCGTGGACGGGAGGAGGCGGAACCCCGGGGCCAGGCAGGTGCTCTGCATCCACCCTGCACGCGCACACACATGCACACTCACACACAGAGCCCGGGCAAAGGCAGGGTAGCCCCTCTGGGGCCCAGGGCTCTGAAAACAGCACCCAGAGCCATCCCCGAGGTCACGACACCTGCAGAGTGCCCCAGCCTCCAGGGCAGAAGCCAAGCCCACCGCTGCCCTCTCCCACCCGTCGGGGGAGGCGGGACCAATGGGAAGAAGAAAGCCTTCAGTGGCTGCCTTTGGAAGTCCCTGATTGCCAGGCACCAGTAAACCCCGTGGGTCATACTCAGTGGGAGAGGCTAGGAAGATCGCAGGACCCTGGCTTGGGAAAGCAGACGGGGAGCGGTGGCAGGTGGGTAGGGGTGAGTGGATCTTTTGATGAAGGGGCTGTGGCCGGAGGGGTCCCCGGAGGCCAGTACTACCTCCTTGTGAATTGGGCCTCTGGGTAAAGGGGGCCAGAAGCACAGAGAACACAGACAGCCACGATGGCTGCGTTCCCTGCTGTTGTCCAGGTGGCCCGAGAGCCCGTGAAACAGACTAGGACAGAACTCATTTTCTCTCGCCTGGTTATGACTGGAAGCCCGCGTCCTGGGCAGCTGCAATGCATCCTGGTCCAGCCACGGGTGCTGGAGCCCGGGCCTCGGTGGCTGTGCACGCCCCACTGCAGAGCTCCTGGGGTATCTCCGTGTCCACGGTGGGCGTCTGGTGCGAAGCAAGCCCTGCCACCTGCCCCCAGCTGCTCCCCCATCCCCCCGCAGGCGTCCCTCCTCTTGCCGTGAGAACACCAGCCCTTGCAGCCCCCGCTGGCACCTGCACCTGTGCTGGGCAAAGCAGGGAGTGGAGGGAGGCAGCTTCTTGTGGGGCAGCCCTGCCGTGGGCCAGGCTGTGAGCAACCCCCCCGCCCAGCGGAAGAGCACTGAGCCCTGTGCCGGCAGCGGTGAGCCAGCTGTCACTCGGTGTCCGTCCCAGATGACTGCGGGGCCCTGGCCCTCCCCCTGCGTGCCCGCTTCAGCCCCTCCCCAGCTTCCCTTCACAGCCAAAGTCTCTTGAGCACTTTTCGTCTTTGTGGTGCGAGTGTCTGGGTGTTGGTGTTTCCCACGGGGCTGCTTTCTGCCCCCCCCCACTGCTCGAAGGCAGCTGGGTGTGTTCTGAATGACAGTAGCGAGTCTGCTTCCCCCAGCCCTTGCTGTGTTTTATTTATTGTCGAATATTTCCAATGATCCGAATCAAAGCGAATAAAGAAGAGCTATTTTATCGTTTGGGCGTGCTTGGCGTTTTTTTCTACCAGGGTCATGTGGTGGGGGTTTTCCCATCCCAACGTGGCCCGCCACCTCTCCCAAGGGCCTCCCAGGTGAGGGTCTGCCCCTGTAGAAACCTACGGAGACGTCCAGAGACAGCGGAGTTTCGGCTTTGGTTTCAGGGCCAAACCCAGTCACTGTGTGAATGTGGCGGGGCGGGAGGGAGTCACCACACCTCTGAACTTCAGCCACAACATCTGTAAAATGGGTGCAACTCTAGCAGCCTTGAGGGCTGTGAGATCACAAACAGGAGCATCTTGGGGGCTCGAGCGACCACCTAGCTCCTCTGAGCTTGTTCCGGGTGAGATAAACACAGCCAGGGCGAACACAGGCCACGTTAGTGTCTGCCCCATGCCTGGAAGAGGCAGGCACACCCAGGTCTTTTAACGAATCCGAAGCCCAGCCTTGTGCTGTGCAGTGTGAAATGGGTGTGAACCACGGTGTGAAATGAGTGTAACCTGCCGTGTGAAATGGGCTTCAGGGAGTTAGCAGGTGCAGTAGGCACGGAACAGAGCCTGGGGCCACCAGCGACACTGGCATCCCCTGTCCGAGCACCGCCTGGACTTCCCAGGCTCTGCTTCTGATGCAGCTTCCCGCCGATGCACCTGTGAAGGCGGCAGAAGATTCCAAGTCTTTGGGCCCCTGACACCCGTGTCAAGAGACCTGGGTGGAGCTCCTGGCTCCGTGGCAGCCATTTGTGGATTGAGCCAGCGGATGGAAGACTTTCTCACTCTCACTCTCGCTCTTGCTCTCCCTTTCCAATAAATAAAATAATTCCTTTTTTAAAAAAAAAGAACAGAGCCTGGCACCTGGTAGGCCTCCAGATGACGCCAGGGCTATCAGGTGCCTCACCTGGGTGGAGAAGGAGCTGTGGGCACAGCTGCAGCCCAGCCTGGCGTGTGGTGCACCTGCCAGGCTCCCTCTCTGCACCCCTGCCCTGTCTCCTGTCCCCACTGCTGGGAGCCTTCCTGCTGCCTCTGAAGCGCACCCTAGTGGTTCCCACAACTTTGAATCCCCTCCTCCTTTCCCCCACCACCCTTTCATCCTCACCCTACCTGGGCCCTGCTCTGTAAAGACCTCAGGCCAAGCTTCCAGTCCATAAACTCCCGGTTGGCCAGACATGACAGCGGCAATGTGGGCAATGGCCACAAGGTGGCATCCTTGTTCCCTGGTGCTCTGCTATGACTGTAAAGTGAGCACGGGGCTGGGTGCATCTCGGAAGCCCCACCTGTCCATTTTCCAGATCTGGCTGTGGTTCATGTTCACTGCACGCCTCTCTCGTTTTGTCTGTCCCCTTCTTTCTTGTTGCTACAGTGTTTCTGGATGACCTCAGCCGCCGCTGTGCCCCTGGGGTGTGATTGAGTCCCCTCCTGAGATAGAGCCATCCTGACTCCAGCGTCCCTGGCCCCTGACACCCCACCCACGCAGGGACCTCGCATTTGCCCACCGACCCCACATGCTGGTTGGCATCTTCGCACCATGGTGCACTAACAGTCCTTGTGGCACCTAAAGACTTGCAAACACAGCCAGCCCTGCAGGTGCACAGGCTCCCCGCTCGCACACAGCAGGTGCCAGGTCAGATTGGATCTGTACCGAATGTGTCCAGTCCTTGCTCCCTTGCACTAGTGCCTGAATAACGTTGAAGGCAGCTGTTACGTTGTATTAGACTCTGCAAGTAATCTAGAGATGATATAAAGTATACAAGGATATGTAGGTGCTATATGCAAGACCATGTCATTTTATTATTTATTATAAGATTTATTTATTTATTTGAAAGTCAGAGTCACATACAGAGAGATAAGGAGAGGCAGAGAGAGAGAGTGAGAAGCCTTCCATCCACTGGTTTACTCTCCAGATGGTCACAATGGCCGGAGCTGTGTAGATCCGAAAACAGGAGCCAGGAGCTTCTTCCAGGTCTCCCACACAGGTGCAGGGGCCCAAGGACTCGGGCCATCTTCCACTGCTTCCCCAGGCCACAGTAGAGAACTGGATTGGAAGTGGAGCAGTCGACTCAAACTGCCGCCCATATGGAATGTGGGCAATACAGGTGATGGCTTTACCAGCTATGCCCCAATGCCGGCCCTGCCACTTTATTATTTTAAAATTTATTTATTTGTTTGAAGAAAAATGCAGAATTATAGAAAGAGAGGAGCAAGTGCTGTGGTGTAGCAGGTAAAGCCCTGGTCTGAAGCGCCAGCATCCCTTATGGGCACAGGTTCGAGTCCCAGCTGCTCCACTTCTGATCCAGCTCTCTGCTGGGACTGATACAACTCCAACTGTTGTGGTCAACTGGGGAGTGAACCAGTGGATAGAAGACCTCTCTCTCTCTCTCTCTTTCTCTCTCTCTCTCTCTCTGCCTCTCCTTCTCTCTGTGTGTAACTCTGACTTTCAAATAAATAAATAAATATTTAAAAAAGAAGAAGAAAGAGAGGGAGAGACAGAAAACTTCCATCTACTGGTTCACTCCCCAAATGCCACAATGGCTGAAGCCAGGAGCCTGGAACTCCACCCAGGTCTCCCACGTGGATGGCAGGGGCCCAAGGCCTTGGGCCAGCTTCAGCTACTTTTCCCAGGGAGCTGGACTGGAAGTGGAGCAGACGGGACTCGAACCAGGCAGAGGCTCAACCAGCTGCACCACAGTGGTACCCCTCCCACTCCGCTTGACACAAGGGACTTGAGCACCCAGGGATTTTGATACCCAGGGGGTTCTGGAACCAGTCCCTGCAGGCTCACTAAGCAGGTCACTTACTGAGTGACCTGGGTCACTGAGGCCCAGGGTGCCCCTGCTCCTGGGCACCTGCAGAGGAGCCCAGCTGAGTACCAAGACACCTGCCCCTGTTGGTGAGGGGCCAACCTCTGCTTCCAGTTCTGGGGGTCGGGTCAGGTCCAAACACCCCTGCCACAGCTCTACCCACCCGCGGTCATCCCCACTGGGCCCTTCCAAGCTCTGGAACCCCGGACCAAAGCAAAAGCTGTGCCGGCCATCTTCCACTGAAACTCGGTGTCCTTGCACTCTCTTAAGTTCCTGGACAGTGGGGCAGCTGTGGGCGGGGCTGGCAGCAGGAGGGAGTCGCAGGCTCCAGGTCGGTCCAGGTAAGCCCCACCCGGCAGGGAAGGGAGCCCAATGTTCTGAGGGCTTCTCGAGACCCCCCTAGATCCACATCCACTTCCCATGGGCACCTCTGCCTGCTGAGAGCTGCTGCCCCCTTGTGGTGACTCCTGGGCTGGCTCCCTTGACACTTTGTCCCAAACAGGGAGCGGATGTGTGGAGGCCTGGAAGGTGTCAGTTCTACTGGAGCACGGGCGCTCACCGGCGCTGCCTCCAGAAACACAAAGGAGGGTTTGCCTGCCTTGGGGGACTATGACAAGCTATTGTGCCTCCAAGGCCCCTGTGATGGCAGATCAGAGCCAGGTCAGACAGCGGCGCAGCGCTGGCCGACAAGAGCTTTTCACCAGTGAGCCGGCTCCCTGTCACCGAAGTCAGTCTCTCACGGGATCCTGCAGCCCTGCTGCCGCACCTGCCTCAAGAGAATTTAAACTCACCCGGGATTCAGCGGTGAAACCAGGAGTTAGGAGGCCCGAGCTGGGTTTCTGAGTGCTGCGTAATTATTGTCACTGCTCCCCCCCCCCATCCCCAAGGGCCAGGGCCAGGCTCCCAGCTTTGCTGTCACCCGAAGCATCTTGGTGGGATGTGAGGCCCCTCCGGGAGCCGGCTGGGCCCTGGGGCTCCAGGTGCCTTCTGGCACTGGGTGAAGGCAGCCACCAGAGGGCGCCATGGACCCAGCTTCAGCCCCACTGTACACCACACACACACACACACACACACACACACACGGTTGGTTGGGCCTCAGATACACTTGGAAAGACGTGAGAAAAGGCACACGCCCAGGCATAAAGTCAGAACTTCAAAGGGCTTGGGATACCAGCAAGTCCAACACCCTCGAGATAAGCAGATTAGGATCTCTGTGAGGTGGCCAAGAAAGGCCAGCGGAAAGGCCTGGGCGCAGGAGGCCAAAGCTCCAAGCACGTGCAGGCCGGCTGACAGGCGTGACCCAGCCCCGACGTGCCAAGCCCTGCACCTGGCCCCTGGCCACCGTGGTGCAGGCCGAGGAGTGTCCCCTGCCACCCCTCCCCCTCGGCCCTCCTGTGACTTCTTAGCTGTGTGACCTTTACAGAAAGGCTGACCTGTCTGCACCTTAGTCTCTGAATCTGAAAAGTGGGTATGAGACAGCGCCATACTCAGCCAGACGGCAGGCTCCTCTCTGAGCCAAGGGTTTCAGGTGTGGTGAGTCCTGGCATCCTCAGAAGAGCCCGCCTGAATTCTGGTGGTGTCCTCGTGGAGACCAGGGGCACACGGGATGCCTGCAGCCGACAGTCTGCCCTTGACCAGGGTGAATGAACAGGCCGAGGCCACGGTCACGAAAATCCCCCAAACCCCAGGGACTCAGAACAAACCAAGCAAGAGCTTGCCAGCCGGGCGTGGCTGTCCTACACGGTCCTCTCCCACACCTGGTGGTCTTCATTTTCTCATGCTGCCAACTCCAACTTTGCCCCCAACACGGGAACTCCACGGGAACGAGGAACCAAGGGGGCCTCACCAGCTCTTACCCATCCCCACCTGGCCTTGATACCCGTCAGTGCCATTCGAGGTCAGTGGCCGGAACTAGCCACTCTGTCCCCATATGCTTCAAGGGACGCTGAAGGGTGCAGTGGCGGAGGGACCCTGTTTCTACCCAGGTCTTCCCTTGATGACACTGACCTTGGCCTTGGAACTGGCAGGTGGGAAGCCCTCTGGTGCTATCCTGTCCAGTCCTGAGTGATGCTGGGTGGAGCGCTCAGTCCCGCAGGCTCAAGGAGATGCAGGCCGCCCAGGTGGAGCCCGCAGAGGGTTGTAGGAGAAAGGGGGCCTGGATCTGGACAGCAGGGGCATCGGGCTGTGCCCTCTGCTTCCCGTGCGGCTG